TATATACACACAGATCTGCGAATGGATGACCTGGATTTTGAGTCTGGGACAAAGGGGCGGAATCGAAGATCGCGATCCATGCTGTCAAACGGGTGTGAATTTTGGAATTGTGAGGGGCAATGACCCAAAATGGTCCCAAATAGCAAACTGTCAGCTAAGCTCACCTGGAACTGGGAAGAATGGGATAGCTTCCGACTCGGAGAGTTCTCAGTTGCTCACAAGTAAAATTGAGAAGCTCTTCAAACACTTGCTCACCAGCAAAATCGGAACCTCAGGATGCTTTCTACAAAGGGTCTGTTGTAGTTGAAACCTGGGCCCGTCCAACCACACGCCCATCCAAGCTGCAAGCCTCGTCCAGTACCGCCTCCACTGACACCTCTGGCGCCTGCGCTGCGGCATCTCAGGGTATTCCCCTGGTGAATATGGCCATGGGTCAACATCCCGTACCCCCAGTGAACATCCCAATCCCCACTAAAATGGGTTCTAAAATGGGGGGTGCACCTACCCCAAAATGGTACCATTGATTTTGACCCACAGCAGTATGAGTGCCTCTTTTGGTTTATGGTACTCTCTGTGCGAGATTGATTCAGAGGCAAAACCAGTGGAATCCCACCATCTTAGAAGATCCCTCATTTTGAGGCAAACCCATATCATTGCATACCCAGCATTGCCCATTCTGGGTTTGGGCAAAGTACCTTGCAGGGCTTTTTTCGCAAGGGGTACGTGGAAAAAACAACACCACGAACCCTTGCCATTTGGGGCGCCCAATTCCTCATTTTGAGCAGCCAGGAACTCGAAAGCAAAAAGCATGATTGTAGAAGAAAGCTGGTGGTAGTGGTATTTAGCCCCTATCATTGCCCCAAATTCCACTTCCCAATTCGCCCCATCCCGCCAGCGAGGGATCCGCTTGGCCCTGCGAGAGGGAAATCAGGTTCACCGCGTGCCTTGCAGAGCGGGGGGGGAAGCATGTCCCAGGAGCTTGGAGAAATTTCCCTGGTGAGTTTGGATTGGGATCTGAACTGATCTTGAGGATCAATGGGAAACCACCCCCTGAACGTCTACACCACTCCAGTACTCATCGTCCAGTCTTCTAAAGGGGATGACGCGAGTCTGGAAACTCTACTGGAGAACAATTCATGAGCTATGAGCTTGCTGGCATTCAAAGATATTTGGCTGCAAGCGGTAAACCCACCCTTCGGATGGCTTCAACTGAAACTCCCAGAGGTCCCTTCCTAGGCTGCTTTGGACGGCAGTCGAGACGTACCCAAGAGCTGTGAATGAAGCGGGTTGCATGTTTTGACCAGTGCGGGCCTATATCCACAAAGCCCCACAAACGCGTGGCAAGCACAACGTTGTGTGCACCCCTCCCCAAATCGGCACCTGCAAAGTGCTGCTCTGGAGTGCTATCTATCTGCTCAGTGCCCTCCACTTATTCGGCGATTTGGGGAGGGGTGCACACAACGTTGTGCTTGCCAAGCGTTTGTGGAGCAAGCCTTTCTCGTGAGACCTCGAAAATATGTTTCCTTCGGTTCTGTTCTAAAACCACCCCCTTAAAAAACATTGACCTCTGAATGAAACACGCCCACGCTCGTCGGCTCTTTGAGGATGTATCGGGGGGATGTGGGGCCAGAGCCCTGACTTTGTCCAGTTCTGTAAAATCCGCCGGAATCTGTCTTCGGGTTGCGAGGGAAGGGAGAGAAAGAAGAAAGAGAGCAACGAAGATAGGGAGAGAAGGAAGGAAGGGCGAGAATAAAGGAAAGAAGGAAGGAAAAGGAAAAGGAAGAAAACAAATAAGGAAGCGCATCAGAGATGCAGTGGTGGAGAGGATAAGGGATCATCACTGCGGACATTCTATGGCGCTGTTGAGTGTCATCGTATGCAAACAGCCAGCCAAATCATGCGCCAGCTCTTCGAGTGAGGTTGCACTGACGCGAATTCAGCAGAAAGATGCTTTCTGAAAAGCGAGCGTAATTGATGCTGGTCATCCGGGCTTCCCCCCTGAATTCAGGCGTGATTGTGCACATTCCATGGTTCTTCCCATCTTTCCTCTCTCATGCCGGAGGACGGAGGGCTTTCACGTGAAGCCACGGCCGAGCAAAACGCATGCTCAATGCTCGCTGGCAGGACTGAGCCGCGGCAAGCATGTTACTGTATTCCAATTTGCGAGTGATGGAAGGGTGCAATACGTCCGTCTTTCGTGGGTCCGCCCTTTCCCAAAAGGTCCCAGTGCTTCAGTTGCACAATCCTCATGACGTACCTCGGTGTTCGACAGATCCACCTTTCAACAAATGTGCCATAGCCCGACAGCAAATGTGCGCTTTTCCAGGCACGTGCCTTTGTTTCAACAGGACGAAAGCTTCTAAATCTGTGGAACCAGGGTGGGCCATCCGAGAAACTACTCTTATCATGGTGAAGAAGATTACCTTGGGAACTCGAATCGCAACTTAAAACCAATTTTCCGCAATCATGTTGTGCACGCGTGGTATAACTACCAGACGACTGTCTTGTCTCTTTTTGCGGGCGCTCATCTTGTCCGAAAGTCGGAAACAGGGGAAGCGACATCTGCTGGGCTGCCGGCAAGCCAGCGCGCGCATTCGCCAGCCTGGCCAACCCCTCCATTGTAGCAGTCCTGTTCCCTCTGGCCCAAACGCATCTGTCTGTGTGTCAATTTCAAGAGGGAATCAACACGAGACCATGGATTGGACAAAGTTCGACATTTGCAGGTCACACCCCGCACGCCCGGAGACACTCTGTAAGGCTTCAGCACCAAACCCTGCAGAACCCGCACAAACTCGGGGCTGTCATTTCTTAGGGCATCTTTTGGCCTAGAGCGGGAACATTTTTGGAGAGTCCACCATTTGCAATGTTCCTTACACGAATCAAACAGGCAAAAAGCGGAGGAACTTCCAACCAAACTCCGGGACCCGCGGCTCGCTATAGCCGAGCCGTGGCAGGCTTTCATGGTCCTTGACCCCCAATACTCACTAGGTTGCAACGACTCCCCATGGCTCTCAATCCTCACACAACCTTTCCTGGGTGTTCCTCAAAGTGCCCTTGAATCAAAAGGAAATCCCCTGGGGTCCTTAGGACCATCCGATCTCGCTCGGCCCACAGGCAAGGCCGACACGCACGTCACTTCGACGTTGCTTCCGCTGCTGGACACCTCCTGGAAGTCCTGCGGAACGGAGCAAGAAGGCACAAGCAAGCAGCCAAAACCTGATGGTGTGTGTGTGTATATGCATGAATGTGTATGTATATATATATGTATAATAGTTATATGTGTATTTTAAGATATACACGCAAATATAGAAAACATAGAGAGAGAGAGAGAGATTGCACAAACATGTATTTATGTGTTTGTATGTGTATTTGCAAATGTAGTGTGAACGTCATACGCATACCTCTATATTGGCCAGGAAGATACGAACTGGCGAACGCGCATAGGCCGTGTATGACGTATACCCGCTAAGGGAATCATACGACTGACCTATACCGCCCGGCAAAACCTGCAACTCCCACTTTCAGCACCAGAGGTATGAGTAGGGTATACCTTTTTTAAGGGTGCGCAAAGCAGAAAAAGGGTGTCACTCTGGATAAGCCATGGAAGGCTTAGCGGCCTGGAGGCATCCAGATCACCAGATGTCTGTTTGCGTTCAACCCTCAAGCTGCACACGTGACGGTGGAGTAGGAATCCGAGCTTCGCAGTCAGTGGGGGAAGGAGGGTGAGATGGCTGGTAAAGATCCGAGCCTAAGCAATCAGACGCGTTGGAATCCTAAACTTGCCTGCGTTCGGCGCACAGAAGGACATCAAATTACCCCCAAAGTTGAAAGCCTCGAAACGACCCAGCGGAGCCTGTCGATTGAAGCACATGCGGGGCTGTCGATCGGTTATCCTCAGACACTGGAAAACTTCCCATGTCCTACGGGCAAGAAACAAGTTGAAGGTTCCTTGCCGCCCTCCACAAACCGCACCGAACCAACCGGGAAAAAAAACGGAGGACATATGGGCGTGGGTCAAAAAAAAAATCCCAGAATGGAACCCTGGTGAACGGAACCCAGGACTAAACCTGGGGTCCCCTGGTGGTTTAATTTTGACCCACACCCATATACCGGGAAAATCGGAAAATTTCGAGAAATTCTGAGCGGAAGCTCCTGGCACTGCCCCGCATCCTCCCCCAGCTGCACCATCAGATCCTGGCAATGACCCGAAATGCTAGATTTGGGCGGTGCATTTGGGTGCACGTGCTTCAGAGGATATATACCGAGATGGGTCTCATTGGGAAACCAACAGGAAAGCCGATTTTGTTTTCTTTTTGGGGGGTCCCTATTTTGGCGAGCCGGGGCACCCTTCCTTGCAACACGAACCCACCAAATGTGCCAGACCAGGGACCTCCTTTATGGTCGGAGAGCGTACCCTGTTGGGTTGCTTTTAAGGGGAGTCAAACCCGCGTATACCTAAACATGGTCGACCTCGACCCCAGATTTTAGAACCTAGCAGGGTGCTATTCTCCAGAGTGATCTGGATACCAGATTCCTAAAATGGGGACAAAAAGCTTGCGCGCATAGCCTTTAGCTCCTGTGCTTGCCTTCATTTCCTCTGGTTTGGGGCGGGGGGGGGCTTGGCTTGAAGAAACCCTTTACTGACCATCTACAGGAATGATGGGCTCCCCAAGCTCCTGAAAACTACCCGTCGGATTTTTTTTATAAGCGCCTTCCCTGAGACCCTGCACCCTGCCCTGCCCCCCCCAAAAAAAAAAAAAAAACGAAAAGTGAACAAAGGCCGTGTCCATGGCGGTTGATTTGTTGTTCTTCTTTTGTTCTTGTTTCTTTTCTTCTTTGTTTCGGGCGTGATTGCTGTTCGTCCCCGAGCTTCGCTGAGTCAAAACGGATCGCCTTTTTTTTGCCTTCGCCGGAATGTGCTGTGGCAGTGTGGCACGACATGGTCAACATACCTACGACTGGGCAAATTTCGCTTCAGGCCCTCAGGCTGCCCACGAACGGCTCGCACGAACGGCTAGCACATGCCTGTCTAGCAACACGAGACTGGGTGGCTCCAGTTTCTGGGTGGCTGTTGGCCTCAAAAAGTCGAATACTGGTTTGTGGGAAAACTATTAGCAGCCAAGGGCGTCGGACTGAGGCTCTCTCAAACCTCACATTGGACCCTATCCAGTCGGGTGTAACGCTGGAGCTGGCTTGATCAAACCCTTCACAAAAATCGAGAGGGTGCCCCCAGCCAGGATCACTGGTAGATTTTGGGCTTATCAATCAGGGATCAACATCAGACAGCCGCGTGTCACGCATATCCCACCGTCGCCGCGCCTGGGTCCAATTCGAAACACCGTTGGTGTATGCCAGGATGTTGCCGACAACCAAGGACCTCGGTGACAAGAAGGATTTGCCCCAGGGGTCGGGGTTTTGCAATTTTCTCCCCTTGCCTCAAAAGCGGTTTTGTTGACTCCCCCCCCCCCCCCGCTCACGCAACGTGTTGGCACTACAGGGGTGGCAACGTGTTTTGTATGTAGCACTTCTTCATGAGCCGTTCGGAGGTGTTCTGCTTTAAGTGAGCCACCACTGCCAAATGGTACACAGACGTGTTCAAGGGAGCACCCGTTTTTGCTTCAAGTAATCCCACCACCGCCAAATGGAAAGCACACTCGTTCCAGGTCTCATGAACGTGTTGCTTTTGCATACCACACCCAATTTCAGCGCCAAAATAATCACGCTGCCGTCGGCCTTTTGGACTTGGCTGTGGAAAAGGCGCGCCGCTTGAGAGAGGATCTGGAACGCACCACGGGCGCGGCAACCCCCCCTTTTTCTGGCAGGCCCAGCATGTTGGAAGGATGCGTACGCTTGCTTCGTCGCACCAGGGAGTGTGCGAATAACCCTAGCCATCATTCCTAGCACAACAAAAGACCAGATCAAATCGAATGAGTGACACACACACACACACACAGACACACAAACACACACAGGGCTACGGAGAACAAAGCTACTGCTGGGCAGCCCGGTCTCCACCTGCCATGAAGAGGAGCCAAATGCGTAAACAACAAAGGAGATAGATAGTAAATGTCAAGTCTGGGCGCCCTGACACGATCCAATGAGTCACTACCAAGAGTGTCTCCGAAAGTATGTAGCATTTAGGTTTGGACCTCAGTTTATCATGGCTCTCGCCAGTCGCCAAGCACCAATGCCTGGGGTTCCGTGCAAGGTACCATTGGCGTCCACCATGGAAGGCGACACGCTGACCAGCACCGGGACCAGGGACGTGTTGTACCTGTAACCTCCGTTTGACCACGTGCCAGCCGGTCCAAAGCTTGGGGAGCACATCCCTTGATGTGCGCCGATCGATTCTTTTGACACGGTGAGTTGAAATTAACTTGACTCGCCATGGAGGGGCATATCAAAACTATCCTAAGACTTTTCTGCGCTTAGCTGTTGCTCCACTCAGGGATTGGATCAGACATGTCCTTCGCCTTGGATCCCATCGAACCCGACTTCTTTGTTTCTCCGCGTACTCTCAAAAGAGTCACAAACAGAACCTGGCATTAAAGCAGTCCGGACACTCATGGCACAAAATCAAAAGACCGGCTCTTGAACCTGAAGAGAAATAGTCCCGCTCCCCCCACCCCACCCCAGCCAAAATTAAAAACACTGGTTTGTCGATTCTGAAGGGAGACACTCCCCCCCCCCCCGAAAGCAGGGAAAAAAGAAAAGCAACGAGGCCCACCACCAGCAACTGAGCCGAGAAGCCGAGCGTGTTGCCGCCCAGTGCACCCACGACGCCGTTGACCACCACCCGCACGGGCTGGACGTCGGGATCTGCAGGATCCGGGACCTCTCGATGTTCGCTTGGTGGCCAAGAGAAAGCCTTTTTTTAAGTGACAAAAAACCACGAGATCCGCAACTATCCGTATCTGAATTGTGTGTGTGTGTGTGGTGTTTAAAACTATATATATATATATGTATACATACACAAGTATAGCATAGAATGGGCAGATAGGTATAATATATATATATAGATAGATAGGTATATGTACACCGTTGTTCATAATATGTTATCTTGCTTATGTGTGCATCTATAGGTCTAATCAAACGTAATCTAACCCTCATGGACACGGATAAGGGGCATGTTCAAGGCAGGTATATATGTGTGTACGGTTGCATGTATGTAGCATATGTAAATGTATACATGTACACACATACATACACAGATTATGCGGTCGATGCATTGTGCATATGAGTATATGTACATGCACTCGCATATCGATATGCATGTGTACATATATATATATATATATATATATATATATGTGTGTGTGTGTGTGTGTGTGTGTGTGCGGGCATGTGTGCAATGCATAAAACACGAGCCCAAACCATCCGAGGGGGTGCCTGCGGTTCCCAACCAATTCGGAGGGGCCCGACAGGCCACCCGAGGAAACCAGACCAAGGCCGTTCGTCTTCGCAAAATGCGGAAATGGCTGCCGAGTGTCCTGTCGGTTTGCCGAAACCAAGCAAAAGCAGAGGCCCTCGCAAAACGACCCCGCAGTTTGGTCCACGAACTGAGGCTTCTCGAACGCGATCCAAAAGAGCAAAGAGGTCCCTGTTTTGAGACAAACGGGCATGCCCTAAAATTGGGAAGATATCTCTGTTAGGAAACCAAACACCATGAAAGGGGATACCAAATGTCGGACCGCAAAAAGTGACCCCCTCCTCTTCCCTCCTCCACTCACCTCTTGAAGCCCCCTCTTAGGATGAAAATCTGCTGAAGACTTGGCTCATTCATCCCGCAAACACACAAAAAGGCTCGGGTAACAGCAACCCACCCAACCCTTCCGGAACGTGAGAAGCCGCTCTGGCAGGCTGGGCAGAGAACGCAAGCTTTCTGCCGATTCCAAGACGCACTCGGAAGGCCTCTGGGCTTTAGAACCATTGAGAGTTAAAAGAAGCTAGCAGTGATCCGTGAAGTTCACATCCATTCGGTTTGCGAGGTGCACAAAACCAGCCCATGCCCTCCCGGCCTCAAACAAGTCGGCGGGGATCTCAGATGCGATTCCCGAAGTCCAATTCCAATGGGGCCCATGACTTTCGGCGGTGTCAAAGTGACTTTTCGTTTGAAGCGTCTGATGGGAAGCCCGGATATATCCACGTCTCAAAAAAAGGAAGCAAGGCACCGCCCGTGCCGAGGAGTTCCCATAACTCAGCAGTGTTGCAATTAAAAAGGTCGTGCACCAAATGCTCAAGATCGCACTTCAATGTAGCAATTGCACAATTCAGCCTGAAACGCACCCATGCATACAAAATGTCCAGTAAAAGTATAGGAAATTTGGATTATAAGCCCCTGGCTGATTGATATGAAGCGTTCCTTGTTGGGTCGTGTTGCGTCATCCGGGGTCGACATCACATCTTTTGTTGGTTTCCATGTTCAGCAGGAGAGTACTATCAGGGGCTAGATTGTACACAACCTGGTCCTAGGATCATGGCGTAACCTGTTTCAATAGAACCCCACCGCATTCCATTCTCTTTGTGGCCCTGCGGATAGGTCCACTCAAAACTTGAAAATAGATCACAGAGAGTGCTGGGGCCCTCGCGCGATCCAAGAAGATGGCATCCGCGTCTCCGTCTTCTACCGGATAGACCTGCGGGCGGTTGGGATTTCTGAAATAAACGCCTCCCATGGCTGGTTTCCCCTTAGCTTCCCCTTTAAAGCCGCCATTCAAAAGGGGAAGCTCCCAAATCTTGGGGCATCCCCACACAGATCTCCACGAGTTCCCAAAAAGCCAGCGGGCTCCCCTAAGACACCTTCGGCTCAAAGGGTTCTTCGCCATCGCCCACCTCCAGGCTGAAGCCGGTGCCCCGCAATCCTTGCCGGGGGAGACGGTCCACGTGAGCTCAGAAAAGCTCCCTACACAGAGGACGATGTGTCTCGGGCTGCAAAGTTGCAGGGTTGCAGAGGCATTTGTATTCCCGGAGAGCATCCTGAGCCGGCAGACAAGGCTCATCAGACTTGTGGACTCCACGAAGTATGGTACAGTAGGGTAAAGTGCAGCTGTACTTTTCAAATCTGCCACTTGCAGTGCCGGTCGCTCTAAAACAAACGGAATGGTTGCGTACGCGAAGGAAAACCAACTAGGAATCAGCTGGACCCGGGTCAGTGGCATGTTGGCCGGAGTCTTGTTTGGGAGCAGCCGCCATGTTTGGTGTGTCACAAAATAACAGTGCACTATAGAAGGATCAGTCCAACTTATCGGCTGTTCAGTTGTTTAGGCCCGGAGTTCCAGAAACTTCCAAAGCCCACCTGAAATCGGCCACCCAAAGAAGAAAGGTAGATCTTTGGGGGGGCGCCACATAATATGATGTAACAAAGAGCCAATTGGGCGAGCATATGCACTCCGATAATCTAGGCCCTTCAGACAACACAAACGTGCATGCCAAAGCACAAGATCCTGGGAAAAGCGGGGTTGGCAAAAGCATTCATACCCTTCCAAGCTAACAAGCTGTGTCCCAAGCTCACCCTCATTCTGACTCCTTGCTGATTTTCCATGGTCCCTCTTGGGAAACTTGAGAGAGGCGGAAATTGTGGACGGCAATCGAGCCCAAAACCTTGACTGGAACCTCGCATTCGCATTAGGCAAACAAACAAACAAACAAACAAACAAACAAACACTCCCAGGATTGCTAAGCATAGCGCAGTGCTTCCGTGAAATCGGATGCCAAGTTGGAAGGTCGCCTTTACAGTTCCTCCCAAGTGCATAGAGGACATGCGGCAGCTCTGCGCCCATAAGTTCCCCTCCCCATCTCTCCACGTCACCCTGTGACCCCTGGCTGTGGTTGTCAAAACCGTTTTGGGATCCCATTCTTGGGAAGGTGAATTCACCACCCATTTTAGAACCTATTTTAGTGGTTGGATTGGGATGTTCACTGGGGGTACGGGCTTTGGCTTTTGACCCATGGCCATCTCTCCCCGGCTCCTGTGGTGTTGACCTCCAGAAGGGGCACATTCCCCAAGGGCCGGCGGAAGCGCACGAGCACTTGGAACTGCTCACCTGGCACCGGAGCCAAAAAAGGAGGACCAGGTCCCAACCCCCTCGCTTGTTTCCGGTGGCCTGCGCGTGGTTTGCATGTTTTGCTTGGGGGGCAACCCAAAAATCACAGGCTCGATTAGATAAGGACCAGACTTCACCTTGAATGTTGTCAAGAGAGTACTCTTCCCAGTCAACAGATTAAATACGACTCGAACGGTTCCTACTCTGCGACCCCTTGAGAAAGGCCAACAGAAATATCATCCCCGGCAAATATCCCGCACATCTGAGCTGCCCCAAGTAAACAAACTGGAAAATGATATATTGAAGTGATTGGGGCATAACAACTGCCATTAGAAGGGTCTGATGAATCGAGGCTTGAGTATCCGGCGGAACCACCCCTTAGATTGGCAGGGACCCCTACAAACGGCTGGTTTTCTCGGTGTCCCTTCAAAAGCACACTGCTCTGTTCAGAGCTCGCACAGGCCGCCTGAAAAACTCGGCCAAGGCACGATGTTTATGGATTAACGCCTGAGCACCTCCACACAGTCCCTCTAAGGCTGGTCAGAAAAGGGTCTCATTGTCCAGTAACTCCCTAAATAACCTGAGCTGCGCCCAAAACCAACAAGCTTCGTTCAAAGGCAACTAGGCTTGTGGGCTTACAAAATTTGCCAACTTCCGCGGCCAATTTGGCGCGTGGGGGTACCCAACGAGTTGAACGAAAGGTTCTTGGGACTTGCCAGGGATCACTCAGAATACACAGCCGTTTGCGAATGAGACAAAATCCAGTTGGAAGGTCATGCTGACCGCTGATAAATAAACCTCCACGTGTGATCAATGAATGAGGGGTCACTATGTTGGTGGATTCATTTGTTCCAGAGCTCCCCAATTGACAAGCGGCTTTTTTCAAGGGGCAACAACGGCAAGGCTCAATCCCTTGCACCCGAATGGAAGACCGAGTCCTCATACTTGTCCGGTTCACCACTTAGCCTGAAAATACCAAGCAAAACCACAAGGAAAACGCCCACCAATAGACTATCTGATCAGCTGTTGTAACGAAACCCAAAGAACTATCCTGGAATCCTGGGCGGTCTGAACAGTTCCCCCGCTGTTGGAAGACACTCGAAGTGGCCTCGTGGCCTCTCTATGTCTGCTAAGATGAACCTCGAATTGTGGGACGTCAGGGATTGTCTTCACAGAGACCGACTCGACACGACTCTTGTGATCCCCAGCCGTCGCCTGATGACCATCCTTGGGGATGCCTAAAGCACCTTGGAAAACGTGCTCGCCCAGTAGCCATAGGTGAAACAAAACACACGTTGTTTGGTTGTTTTTGAGGGGAACCACACAGAGTTGACCCCAAAAAATGTTCATGTAACAGGTTCCCTTTACATCTCAACCAAAAGTGGATACCTTCAAGCAACACAGCATGGGTCTTGGCCGAGGAGTCTAGGGCGCCCAGCTCCAGTTCCAGCTGGCCGTTGGCATCCCCCTCGGGTCGCCTCAGAGAGAAAACGCCTTCTGTCCCTCATCCTAGATACTTGGTTGACGTTGGGTTAGGGGAGCAAAACATTAAATTTCAGCAGTTAAGTGAAAATTTCCCACTAAACCACAATAAGCAAAAAAGCAAAATGTTTCCCAACAACAAGCATGGAGAGTTCACAAAATGTTCTGTGCGTCATTTAAGTTCTAGAACCGCCTGTGATACCTAGGCAGTATTCAGATCTTGGTCAGCGTCAGGGAGATGTGCTTGTCACCACAGAAAACTTGCTCAGACCCATTCCCGGCCACCATGTTCATGTTTAAATGGAAACCAAAAGGCAGCCACAGCCGGCCGTCGGGTCCACATTTCCTTTGGGCGCTCGAAACATGGTCTCTCGTTGATAGCTTGAGGCTGAACTGCATCAGACCTTAGCAAGCGAGCATATCCCAAAGCAAAACTCATAGCGACCCCCGCAAGTGGCAGCGGTTCCTGCTGGTTTCCCATGTACACCACCATGCAGAAGGGGAGGGGGGGACAAAAGGTTACGACACTTGCAGGTATGCCGAAGCCGCGCCGAGCGCGCCTGATATTTTGCACCTCCTGTGTCAAGTGGGTCCAGCTGGTGGTGGCTGTCCGGGCCTGCGCCGAGCAAGGCCCTAAGCCCCTTGCTGTCGGTTGCCAAAAAAAGGGGAGCACTGAGATGAGTCACATGTTAAGTTTCAGTCCAATCAGTCAAACGAGTCAGTTTGAGTCACTGACCACCTCGCGACCCGCATCACCCTTCGAACACGACGTGTTTTTCAGGAGATCGGCGGTGAGGACACGTCCACCCCCCCGAAGCGCCGCCACCCGAGGAAAGGAGGCCTCGATGGCGGAGCTCCAGGTGCCGCTGTGGCCCACCATGAAGGACCCGGCCAGCGGAGCGGTGGCCTAAGCCCAGCGCCCATTCAATCCCAGCCGTCATGAAATGGCCATGGGTCAAAAGCCAAATCGTACCCCCAGTGAACATCCCAATCCAACCACTAAAATAGGTTCTAAAATGGGTGGTGCACCTACCCCAAAATGGTACCATTGGTTTTGACCGGGCGTGCAGATCTATGTATCCATATGGGTGTGTCTCAGGATAGAGGACCCCAAAGCCTGGTTGGCTTGCCTTCGGCTTCCTTTCAAAACCCACCGTCCAAAAACCGGCTCCCCACAAAATGAGACAGACCCATGTATGGTCATCGTAGGCTGTTGGTGACCACTTTGCCAGACAGAACAGCGGGGCCAGGACAATACCCTCCGTAGACAAGGCTTACCGATCACCTGTTCACACACGGTACCACCTGGAAAAATGGGGTCGCTCCTCATGCGACCCCATCAAACATCACCCCACACCCAAAGCAAGCTCATGTTCAAATGGCCCCACAAAACATGTATCAGCCAAAGAAAACAAAAGAGCCACTGTCGATATTCATTCCCAATTCGCGGTGTCTTCCCGGCTCCTCCAGTAGACTAGGGACGTCTGGGCATAAAATCCATTTGGACACATTCATGTAGGTGGAGTTTTATTCGCCCCGGTTCAAATTTCGTTACCGTACATCCCCTGAAGGAGGTCGCTTCTCCAAATCCCCGGGGCGCGCGCCGTCTGCAGGGTGCCCACGGTGGCCGAGCCCAGGCCGGGGTCAATCAGGTCCAGCCTGAGAGCAGAAATGTGACCTGACTCGTGGTTCACCTTCCCCTTCGCAACCCAGAAAAGCGTTCTCGAATATCTCCAAATATCCTGGATGAATTTGGTCTTGAACTAAAACCCTCGTTGTTCTTTTTGAGGATCCTTCTCAGGAAATTGCTCAAACCCGAGGAGAATTGTGCTTTCCGAAAAGGACAGAGAGTGAAAAATCAAGCCGTAGACCTAGCCAAACTCTCAACAATTGGCCTTCTTTGGGGTCCGGTCCCCAGCTCGCTCGATGTGCGGAATGCATTTCCCGGGTCCAATCCGTGTATTGAAAGAGTACTAAACGAGCACAACAAGCGAATGGGGCAGCTGGGGGTAAAGACGCACAAAGCTGTTTTCTTGACAGACCTATGGGGTGTTTCCTGTGGACATCAAGAGGCCATGGCTTCCTGTTTGCCCCCTTTCCACAATTGGGGAGTCTCCCATTTAAAAAACATCCAGTCCTTTTCCTTGCACTTTCAAACCACGTTGCTCCTGCACCAGCACGTTCCTCTAGTCAAGGGCAGGGACAAAGTAGGTACCTCCACTTACAAGTCTCTCGAATGGTCATAAGGCCCTAAGGCCTTATGGGGAGGCCTGAAATGCCGCTTTGCCCTAGGCAGCAACCAACGGTCTATGGATATGCCAAATTGTTCAATGCCAACCGCAGAATGACAACCCTTTCTTTGAGAGGGCTTCATTTCATGTAACCCCCAGCAGAAATCATTGCTGAAATATAGAAAATCATGGGCAAACATTCGATTATGTTGGAAGGGCAGCGGACCCTTGAAGATCTACACCGACCGCGAGCACTTGCATCTGAGCGCCAGTCCCGATCCAGCGGGAAGTGCCGGCCTGCGCTAACGTAGCAGGATAAGAGAAAAACAGCTGCACTGGTTGAAGCGAGCGGAGTCAACGTCAAGTTCCGTGTCTTCCCTTCCCTTTAAGCAACCGCCTAGCGGGTTAAAAGGGGCCAGCCAAGAACATCAATCCTATATTTGGGCTCCACTCCCTGCGATTGAGGAAAGCGTGCATGTTGCAAACAAGAGTTGCCCCATTGAGACATGATGGTCGTTCGGTGTCCATTTCAAACAGCTCTAACAGGGGACTACCCCTATACTGGAGAGTGAGATAGCGCCCTTGCGGCAAAAAGGGGCCAATGGACATTGGCGCGTCACAAGCAGCACCCATGACCAGCGGTCATGAACCCGCACTAGCAAACCTCTGAAACCTGCATGGGAGTCAAGCACCCTCACTTAGTTGTGTGTGTGTGTGTGTTCCTGTATGTTTGCTTGGTGTTTTCCGTTGCTTGTCGGTCGGGCTTCTTGCTTCTTTGTTCTCCCCTCTTTTTGCAACACCTCCCCGTGCTTGTTCAGCACGCTTCCAAGAGCCGCCGGCCTCCCAGCTTCCTTCCGAGCAAACCTCTGTGGACCTATGGTTCTCTTGCAGTTAAATCGGACAAGTGATGTTGCTTTGTTCGAAAGACTCAAAGGTTCAAGGTCAACCCAGAGGGCAGCCGTGTACAATTCAAGAAGCAAACTGCGTTGCCCACCGGAACACTTCGGCAAGCCTTTCTTGCTGCATCAAGTTGGTCATGGCATGAAAGCATTGGAATCAAAGCATGGAACGGTTCAGCATGGGCCTCGGGAACGCTCGTGGAAAGCTCGTTACTTTGGTAATTGTTGCCGGTAGGGAACGAGAAAAATCCTCTATTTTGCCATGGTGCGTGGCAAAGGGAAACCAAAGAAAACCACCCATTTTCTGACTGCGCCGAAACCCTGAACATAGTCCTTGCCTTTAGATTTAGTACTCCCCGCAAAGTGAAAAACTTGTCCTCCATTCGCTTAAGTCCCCTGGAAAAAAAGAGAATATGTCCAGTAGCGATAGATGCTCTTTAGAAGCAACAGGGGAAATCATTAAACAAACATCAAAGCATGTTGTTTCTTGGCAATCTCACCGTGGCTTCGCTAAGCCAACCGGAGCCGAGCCGTTCGCCTCCAGCGGGCACTCGAAGGTCAAAGTGAAGCGCCGCGCCGGTGCCGTCTCGTTCACGTCCACGCTCATGCTCCGGCAGTTGTGCAGCCTAAGGATTCGCATGGGTTCCTCTCAAAACAGACCCCCTACATGAGTATGTGTCAAAATAGAGCTTCCGGAAAAGGGTGGGTTTTCCTTGTGGTTTCACTTCAAATCAATGTGAAAAGGGTACCCACAAAGAATAACAGAGAGGGACATGATGGGAAGCGTGGTTTTTCCATACCTCTGTTTTGGCTATGTTTGTGCTAATTAAGATTATGAATCACAGCTTACGAGTGACTCTTGTAGAGCTTTCAGAGGCTAGAACTTGCGGGATTGCTTTTCGTGGCCTTTGCTTACTACCTTGCAGGATTGTTTTTGTGGGCTCCTCCCAAGATTTGCTATTTGGCGACCCCATTCAGACCTTTTTGGGAGCAGCCTCGCAAAGCGTGGAGGTCCCCCCCAACCAAAAAAAAAACTAGGAGGCGCTAGCCGCTAAAAAAGTCTGTAAAGATCCTCAAACACAAACAAAATCACCAATCCCCACGCCTCCTGGTGAAGACCCTTCAGGATTCGTTATTTTGCTTTTTTGGGGGGACCTCTGCAGACTTGATTGAGTTCAGGGATTTCTGCAGGTTTTTCGAGGCTGACCTCAAAAAGTCTGCAAAGGTCAAGGTCTGCAGCTCCCCCCTGCCCAAATTAAATAGAAAATGGGTGTCCGTCAGAATCTATACATTGTGCAACTAGAAGTTTAGTAGGAAATCATTGCCACGCAAGTTTTTAGTTTCATTCATTTAAGTCTTAAATAGAAGTTACTGTTGAAATGAGTCAACTCGATGTTCTAGCAAGTCCTTCCAAATAGAACCTAAATTAAGACAAATGATTGAATTAATATAGGACTTCAGCGAGGAAAACATTTAGAATTGTGTTGAGTTGGTTTCAATAGTTCTTGAATTATATGTTGATTAGAACTTGAAAACAAATGTAATAAGGAAGCAATGTTCTTCCAAGTCCTGTTTGGAGCTATGTTATGAGTATTGGACTTTAGATGGAAGTCGTGGCCAAATATACTTTTCGAGCTCAATTAGAATTCACATGGCATTTAACAATGAAATACACCAATGAACAAAAAACATTTAGAACTTATATCAGAATTATCTCTTTCCAAACAAGTTGTCCATTGGCTCTCAACTAGAATCTATACAGAAATGAATAAGCAATCAATATTATGTGATGAGTTAGACGCACACGGAAACCAAAGTCGCAAACACACGAGATACAAGGAACGCAAACAATGACCAAAACTTGGCCAAACGTCGGGTACGTATCCGCGCAGCACATCCTGCACAAAGCCCTCGGACCCAACCTGCCTCAGACTAAATCAAGCCATGAGACCTGTACGGCTCCTCACCCGCAATGATGACCTAGGCAGCCAGAGTTGGCCGGGATCCTTGTTTACATCCCCTCAAACATCACCATATTCAACGCAAACCTCACTTAAAGTTGGTGGCCAAAAGGTGACGATTGAAAACACTGAGGGATATGTACGATGCCCTGTAGGTTGGTGCAGGGGCGCCTGAGTGGCCCAGCACACGAAAATTCGGCCTCGACTCAGCTTGACACCTAGCCAAATTCCAACTGCCGATCATGTGTCCTCCGCAGAGCATGTTTCATGGGTTCTGCTCTTCTTGACAGTCCCACACAAAATGGACGAATCAGGGAAGGGCTCCAGAGCAAGACCCCAGACGGCCAGATATCATCCTTCGTCGCCCCAGCCAGGTGCATGGCGTTCGCATCACGGACGCCGTCCCTGAAGGTGACCGAAAAGTCCATCGGACTTTTAAGCGAACCATCCAACTCGTCCCCTTCCCTTGGCCCATGAAGTCAACGATGGAAGAACAAAACTGCAAGAAGGAACTCTGGCGTCCTGTCTGACCAATCGACTCGTCTGCGCTCACAGAAAGGAAACCCTGCGGTCAAATCAGCTGTCTGACTCCAAAGCAGGCGGTTGCTCCAGGGCCAAAAAGGCTTTCCAGTACCCCAAAACCGCCACCCCCAGGGAAATGTGGGGGAAGACACTGGTCCAGTTTTACATGCGCCTCTATACCTATCCAGTTCCTATCAAGAATACCAAACTGGATTTGCCTCCGTCCCTTGGTTTTCCATGGCTTGTGGGACGCGGGTTGGCGCCCTGAGCCGACGCCTGACGGTGCCGGGATCCACGGAGTTGGCGAAGGACATGGTGGCCTCCTGGCGAACTCTGACGGAACTCCGACGCATTGAATCTGTTCCACAGCCAAACCCATGCCCAAACCTCCCCCCCGCTCACCCCCCCGGCAGGACAGAATGGAAGCCAAGCTTTTCAGCCCCAAAAAACCGACACAAAAGAGAGCCGCAGCGCCTGCCCGACTTGGCCCGTCATGCCTCAGGCAGGAAGGCCAACTGTTGACTCTGCATGAGCCTTCGATCCGCCCACGTGAATCCACCTGAACCTTGCAGCTTGGGGTCTTGCGAATTCCGCTGGGGGGCCCTGCGAATTCGGAAGGTGCTGGGCTGGGTGACGTCCGCGATCTCGATCTGAGCCGATCAGAGGGATAGCTGGAAGGGAAAAAAACATGCGTCCTCCTGCCCTTCCTGCCCTCGCCGGCCCAAAGGAAACAAAATATCCTCTTGGGGCCTTGACTAAAAACAGACCAAACATGGAAAATGGGAAGCGGGATCAAAGGTCGGCTTTGGGCAACTGAGTTCCTAAGACCCCCTTTATAAGACACGCTCTTGCTGGAGAGGTGCACCTGGAGGGAGGGTAGAGAAAGCTCACCTAAAGTTGGCCCAGGCCCGAAGGTGACGCCAAAAACGACAATGGCTCTTGACTTTGTACGTCTCTCATAATTGTCCTCACAGTGCATCTCCGGCTCAAACTCTACAGTGCCCTGAACATCCAGTGCATTTTCTATGCTACAGTACAAATCATCCCGTCCCCCATAAAAAGGCTTTTGCCTGGGGCAAGCGTACTGCTTTTCCCTCCCCCCCCCAAAACAAAAATACTTCTTCATGGTCGAACGACGTCCCGAGGTTGCTGGGGCGCGCTCAAGAAAGGCAGATGCCACAAAGCGGAAAAGCACCGTCTCGCAACTTTTCGGGGGGTGGGGGGGGAAGGATATGTGCGTTGAAAGGGGAAAACAAACAAACAAAAAACAAAGAAACAAGCAAAGCCACAATGTTCGGGTGTGTCTGTTTCTAGGGGACACCCCCAAAATGGCTTCTCCCTTTGGTTTCCCTTTAAGCCCACCGAACGGTACCACCAAAAACAAGCCACGCCCACGGAAGGCCCGACCCCGCGCCGACCCGCGCCGAGGGCCCCGGGCCCAGTGGATCTCCCGCAGCACCCCGGTCGCCTTCAAGCGGATCGCCTGAGATCGACTGGGACCGATGCCATCGGATGGGTATTTGTTTCTTCATCCAACGCCCGCATCCACTTTGCATCATCCCTTCTGGCGTAAAATGTCTGCCATCTTTCACCCAACTGCAAAAAAAATCCCCAAGTAGAGGACCTACATGGTGAGATCGTTCTAGCGTTTTAGGGGAGCTCGCCGAAAAGTTATGCAGACTGATGTCAAGCCCGAATTGATCCAATAGGAAAGATGCCGCAACTCCCCAAAAAGCAAAGGATCGCCCTAAAAAATGGGACACCCCTCTATCAATCGATCCTGGGTCAATTAACACGGAAAACCTCCATCTCTGCGACTTTTTTTGGGAGCACACCCCTATTCATCTGCCAGTTGTAATGCAGGGTCAAATTAAGCACCCAGGATGGAAAGGAACCTTCAGCCTGCCGTGGACAAGAGTCCTGCAAAGAATCTGAATCTGGTCAGCCCGGTTCCCCAGAATCCTGATCAAACACATGGCTTTTGGCTCGGACGTCTTGAAAGTAAGAGAGCTGCAAACTGTTGTCAAGCTCCCTACTGTGGATGGACGAAATCCGTTCGCACAACCTAAAAATAAAAAATAACAATAAAACCTGGAGTGATGATTCCCCTGTAAACACCAACGAACAATAGTTTCCCATGGTTTCCCTTCGTGGTGCGAATTCGATTTCGTCCATCCACAGTATCTCCACTTTCTCGAGGATTCTTTGACCGGGCGGATCGCCGGGTTTTATGCGTCCAAGCCCGCCTGGACCTCCATCGACGGCATCACCGCCGTCATCCCTCGCACCTCACAGTAGCTCAGCGCCCAGCAAAAAAAAAAGGACACCGGTATGTGGCTTTTGAGGGCATACAGCTTCAAGTTGGTCTCAAGGGAAACCCAGAGGAACCACCTTTTTGGGGTCCCACTATTTTGGCCTATGCCCACATCAATGCCGGGGAACTTGAAAAGCAATCGAACGTAACCATTGTTTGCATGTGTGTTACTCGGTAAATTAAAATGGAACCTCAAAAGGCGGCTTCGACAAAGGGAGATTCCTCCGTCGGATGTTGGGTCCCGGTGCCCCCGGTGAGAATTCCATCCGCCTGGCTGTCCGCCAGCATCTCGCCGCTCGCCAGGGTGGCAGAGCTCAGGCCGCCCACCTCTGCATAAGCGATTGGAAAAAGGGGATACTGCAAATGTTGATATATATATATATATACATAATTAAAACAGCAAAAAGGAAAAAGAAGAAAAAAAGGAAAACGTGTACAGCTCGACAAGCCAGATCTTCCGGGCACAAAATTGAGGCTGGGCAAAGCGCCAAAGCTTCCGGGACCAAAAAACAGAGATGAAGCCGGAAAAGGCTCTCCCCAACAGTCTCGGTCAAACATCTTTCCCGGAACCTCTCTGGGGGGCGCCCAAAGGCCACCCATGTCTGTTGCTAGGGACCAAAGGGTACCACATCCCCACTCCCCTGGAGCGACCGCGAGAATTTCAAGCATTCATGTATGATGTGAGTACTTGTCTTCAAAGACTTGGGTCTTCGGGGGAACCCCGCCCTCGCTCAACTCTCCATGTGCCCGGCCTTCATGGCTGTGCGAAACCAGTTGTATCCTGGTGAATGCGGCAGGGATCTGTGCCTTGTTTTCACTCCGACTGGAGCCATTCTTAAGGACTCTGGTAGCCACAGCAGGGCGAGCACTGCTTGGACCATTTCTGCCAGTGCTTTTGCTTCTCCCTACGTAGGGTCAAAGCCGGAACTTTTGGCTTGCGAAGATTCAAATTGTTTCCAACAGGTGCGATTGAAACACGCGTCACAAGAAGGAACTAGGAAAAGCCTGCCGTCTGGGAACGTTTTCTGATGTTCCACAGCAGAAAAAGCTCTTGGGCACCAAATCTCAAGAGTTGGCTTGTCGTAAAGTGGCCATCACCAACTCAGTTGCTCCATGCAGGCGACCATCAGACAGGGTGCCCGGCTCCCTTAGACATCACCGCATCGAAATGGAAACTTACTTCAATTCGGCCCATCTTGAGACAGCCGTCCGAGAATACCAACGGAAGCCAACCAGAAGCGGAGAGCGGACAGTGCCCATTCCCAAACGCTCGGGGCAGCGTTCCACGGAAAGCCTCCGTAGCCCAGATTCCGCAGCCGGAAAGGGTAGCGCCTTGGTCGAGCGACTCCCTGAAACAGGAAATCCCAACTTCACCCCAAGATGTCGGAGTTGCTCGGGTCATGCAATTCTTCAGATCAGCAAAGCTTCCGAATGGGCCCTGCGCTTTTTCGCGGAAGGGAAACTGAACTATTTGCCAATCTGGCCAGAGTCGGTCCTGAATTGAATCAGGCATTGACGGATGCCTTTCTTAGGGTGTATGCTACCAAGCTCCGGCCGCCCTTCTGGGATTGAGGCACGCAAAAGCAAAAGCCGCCAGCATTCTTGTTCTTGGGGCCCACATGTGCCAGGCGGTGCGATTCCACACCGTCATCAAGGAGCAAAGGCCAAAAAACATATCTCACAAGTGTGAATCCGAACTCTGTCTACCAGTAACGCCTATGTTCTATTCTCGTATTGCCGCTGCTCGTTTCACGAGGAGCACAATACATCAGGCTGTGCGCACTTGCACTCTAAACAAAGCAAAGCAAATGATGGCTCATGTTCAAGAACTTGCAACCGTGCAAACGTTGGCACAGGCATCTACGGCAAACTTGCCAACTCGCCCTTCCGTTGGATCAGTGCAACCTCTGGTAGGGGAGAGAGCGCTTTCAACATCTGCGCCAGAGGCAGCTTGAAAGCATGGCTTCGCGCCCTCAAAACAAACTGGACGTGAAGAAGGTCCCCGGAGGAAACATGAGGGGCGTCCCTTTCAGGCTCCATGTCTGGAGAGATCTTGGGATTTCCGGAAGGGCGGAGCTATATATCACAGTCTCCCGTGCGGAAAATCCAATCCCCGCTCACGTCCAGCTCCCCATCGCTGTCGGCTTCCCGAGCCACTTGCTCGCTCTCTTCTGGGGGCGGAGATTGCAACTGTGCATCCTGGGCAAATTCAGGCCTTTGGACCATGCCGCAAACAGACAATGAGGAATCCCAAACAAGGGACCGTCATCTGGGGGAGCTCTCCTCCTGACCATCCTGCTATGCAGGAAAAATAATATCTCCATTCCTTCTGGGGAAACTAATCGACTACTTCCCCAGCGGAATTCCTAGGGATGGAAATGGGCCCTTCCCTTCCCCAACCTCTGACGCCATGGGGGACCGCGAACCCTTGCTGTTGGAATAGACCTGGGTGTGTCTTTTTGAGAGTGCCCTTTTTGGGGTTGGTTGAAAGAGCAGCCAAGAGAAAATCGTGTTTCTGTGTGCTTTTTGTGTGTGTGTGTGTGTGCTTTTTGTGTGCGTTTTTGGGTGGGAGAATGGGCATTCTACCTCGATACCTTGTGCCACAAGTCCAGTCGGGAGGCTTGCTGCAGGAGAACGGACTGCTTGACAGTTGTCGCCCTCTTGCTCCGGTTTCGCTCCTAAGATGCCACAAGGAGCCGTTGCTCTGCAGTGGGAAAGCAGAAGAAGGACCCCGCGAGAGTCAAATACATGTGTATAGATATATCATAGTACATATGCGGCCGACTTCCACAGTACTCCTTTCCTGGGTGTCCTTCAACCCCGTCCAATGAAAGGGCCAGGATGAATTGGGAAAACCTCTGCGACGCTTCAACATGTACCCTGTCCATGTCTGGCTCTCTCCGAAGGATGCAAAGCCTCCCAGCGTGTCCAGAGCATGACATGTTTAAGCGGTCGATAGATTAAGAACTCTCCTTCTTCCCATGAATCATGGGGACGACCTAAGGTACGTGCGACTCCCTCTACCTGCAAAACAATGAAACTTGAAAAAGGTAACACGGGTGGTTTGCTGCCCACACAGTAGCATGCTAGAGGTTCAAGACCAAAGAATAGCTGGCAGTTTTACTATCGATCGGCTTAAAGTACATATCCCCTGTTCAGCCCTGAAAGACAGTTAGGGCAACAAGACGGAGCGAGACCGTAAGCGAACTCAAAAGAAGGCCAAGTCGCCAATGCTAACTTGTCATCTGCCACACGAGCTTTGAACTCGCACATCCTGACAATTTGATGCAACGCCTTGGGCCTGCAAACATCCACACCAAGACAGGGGTCACAAATTCCAAGTTCGTCAGCATCATTCAATGATTGAACATTTTCTTGTGCTGCACTAACAAATGCTGGCAGGATCTCCAGTCGCAGGTCGAATGCCGACAAAGCATGACTGATGAACAGTTGCCGTCAACCACATGCAACTACGTAAGCTGTCCGTTACATGAAACAAAGCCGGACACAAGCTACTGGAACCAGGAAACAGGCGAGCACTTTTTCTTGGGCGAACTTGATGCACAAACAAAGGTTGTGATGCACGCAACAGTCTTGCTCACGGGCTCATATTACATATCATCACTTGCTGCCTTGTGGTAAATGGATAATTCCTGCTCATTTGCCCGTCTCCAAAATCCAGCCACGCGCGTCTGATTTCACTGGGAACCAAAACTTCGTCAGCCTGCAGGAGATTCCACAAAGAGAACATGCAGACGTTCTCTACGCCCAAAGGGTGGTCGGCCGCTCATTCCCAACCAACCAAGGTCCCCGCAAAAACACTCACCATTTCTCCCTATCTATCTATCCATCTATCATGCTATCGATTGATCGGTCGCTCGATTCCTCGTCCGTTCATCCGTCTGTCCGTCCATCCGCCGACAATGAATGGGAACAGAATCAAACATAGGAAGGCAGCAGCTGGTTGTTGTGGGACATTCGGTCTGGGAGAACCAAACCAGGTAAGTTGTCCCTTGCTCAACACGGGAGCTTCTAAACAAAAATCCTTGTTTGTTTCGCCATATGAGGACCACAACAGCGTTCGGGCAATGGCAGGCGCACTTCCCACAGAAGGTTGGTAGATATAATATGGCTTCACGTTTGGAGACCCCTTCATGTTGGTCTGCGTATCGCTCTGGGGTATCCCAAGGTGCGTGCCTCTGCTGGTGCATCTGGCGCTGCTGCTTGCAGATCTTCAATCGCGCGAGGCCCAGATTGAAGTCGCGCTCGACCTGCACCGGCTTTGTATGAAGGTGCCTGCATTCCCCCGGTACCCCCAGGCCTGCTTGCCATTGGACGGTGCAGTGCTCTGTGGGGAGGCCAACTGACCAATAAGCCGAAGGGTCCAGGTGCTCGAAAACTTTGAAGAACATCTGGCTCAAGCCCCTCCCGCCCCTGAACCCTGTCCGATGGGACGATGACAAAATTGGCTGGTGTGCTTTTCTGGCCTGCCACTCCACTCCCCAAATGCGGCCTATCGGAACAACTCGCCAATGAAGCGATGCCCATTGCCATCGCACTGGGGGTTTCAAAGTTGGCTCCCCCCCATTTCCTCTTCTCGGCACAAGCCTAGGAAGTGGAAGCCTTGCCATGTTGGTCTGTCTTATTTGATGGCAGAAAGTCGCACCTGGCAAGAAAGCTGTCTCACTGAAGGAGTGGTCAGTTCCAAAGACTTGCAATCTCCACATGCGCCCCTGTCAAAGTATGAAGTTCCCCTGGTCCCTGTGCTTGACTCAGAAGCCTAATATAAATTCAGCACAGACCGGTGATTTCAGCCGAACCTCACGTAAAACTGTTCCACGTCTTGCACCCCCCCCCTTGCCTTGTCCGAACGGAAGCGCATGCCTTCCCATCTCGACAGGAAGTGCAGCTCGTCCACCTGGGCGAGCGAACCCACATGCGCCAAAACCTGCCTCTCGCCGCCAGGTTTCTTCACAAGTGAATCTGCCCCTCTTCGTCCAATTTGTCCAAAAGGGGACCCACCCGGGCTGGTTTCAACAACCCATCTGGCATTCTCCTTCCGGACGATTCCCCTTGGCAACCTCAACCAGCCCCCACCCTCCTCGCCGGGCCGCGGTGATGAACCCGCCCCGGTCCTTGGGTTGCGATTCTGCCGCCTGGTTTGGGGACAACATCGGCACAAGAGGAAACCAGCGCCACCGTAGGAGGTAACCCATCCATTCGCCCAGCTGTGTGCCGAGGCTACCTTGTTGGACAAAGGATTGGGCTGGCCTTTGAAACAAAGCAGACATTCGGACCTTTGAAAATGCTGTGTTGTCCTTTTGAGACTACCTTGTTGCAAAAATGAACGCTCGATCCGCTCGTCTCAAATGAAGAACCACATTTGCTCGGCTTCAAAGCTGCCTTTTTGTTTTTCAAAAAAAGCACCGGCTGGTTCTCCAGTCAAGCGTCCTTATCCAGGGCGTCCCACAAGGTCTGCGGGTCCCCGGAGAACTCGAAGTCCGACAAGAACTTGTGGAACTCCGGTCTGTAGCCTCCGGACCCCCCGAACCCTTCTTTCCGCCCGCTTTTTTTTTTGCCTGATTTGTGTTGGCACGCTCGCGTGCAGATATCCCATGGCCATGGCGAAGGCGGCTATTGTTTTTCCACAATGAGAGAAACGTGGCTTTCCGTGTACCATGGAAACCTCCCAATTTCTCGCTTGGTTACCTCTTTTGCTTTGTGGGAAAGTAAAAATAGCCCCGGAAACCAGGCAAATGTTCCCTTTCGGGCTTACGAAAGCTCGGCGAATCCGACTTGGGAAATCGGACTTAGCAGCAGGTTCCGGAGCCGTTCTTGTTCATGCCGAAGCGGAAGGCTTCATTCATGCCCCCGAACTCCGCTCGGCAGATCCTTGGAATCGAGGAAACAGATGAGCCCTACCCCCAAGCACACCCTGCAGGTCAGGCTTCACAAACAAAAACACCTCCGCATCGGCACAAGAGGAGACACTGGCCAAGGCGACTTGTGAGGTGCAGTGGTGAATCAAACACGCCGGATTCGATACGAAAGATTTGACCATTTCATCGCTTCAGAGTGTTCCAGTGAAGTGGAGATGACTATAATATCGCTTTGCGACATGCGTGTAAGGTCCTTCTTGGGGCCGTGGATTTGTGCGCGCCCTGGCAATTAGCGAAAAGCACCCTGCAAAAAAGATCCCCCCCCAAAGGTTGTTCCCCGCCAAAAGATGCTTTTTTAATGGTTGCGTGTGTCACCCCCTTTACATCCATTATGAAATGGGCAACAAGGAAACCTTGTGATAGGAACCAGGGTGTACTTCTCTCGGCTAGGCTCGATTTTGCGAATTGACATGCCAGGCACGGCCTTTTCTGTCACCCCGAAGAAAACTACATAGGTTTAGAAAAAGGCCTCGGCGGCATCGCCAAACCGGTAAATGCTGCAAGTAAAGAAAGTGTCACGTGTGATACATAGGTTGCACCCACGAGTATTCCAACGCCAAAGTTGGGCACTGTTGACTACCCCGCGAGCATGGAGTCTGTGTTCAAAGGGGTCTGTGTCTTTCCTTGAGGATGCAACGGGAAACCGCAACTTTTTGGGTCCCGTATTGTAGCACACACCCATGAGGAACCCAACATGAAAATGTCAACCGGCAAATCCCCCTTGCCACACGCGCCCCGATGCCCGGCGCTGCGACAATTCCAGGACCTAGGCGCTCACGGAACTCCATCAAAACCCGGTAGGCCGCGGGATCCCAGCTGTCCAACGTGATAAACCCCCCGCTCTTCACGTCCAGGTGCCGCCACAACCTCGGCCCCACACATCGGCTCGAAGAAAGCGGGGCTCCGAAGTGACACATGCTGGGCACAAGGAGATTTGGGGGCCCATTTACCTCCTCTTGACACCCCAGAAGCAAGTCCGGGCGTGGTACCAAGTCCCAGTGAAACAATCACATCCAACCAATCAATATGAATTGTACCAGTTGCTAGCAAGTGGGAAAGGGCCACAAACCCACTGACTTTGATCACTTCTCAAAAATGGCGACCCCAAAATGAGTGTGGCGAAGGAGGCCGTGTACAGCCACCCAAACGGGGGTACCTGTTCAACGGAGCCAAAGAGCAAATTGAACTCCTGTTGGGGTGCAATGAGCTTTGTCGCCCCTTTGCTTGGTCCTCAGCAAGCCCATTTTACATGGGCTTGCCAAAAACAAATCCAGGAACCCAGCGGGTCCTTGAAAAAAAGAGTCCCACAGGCCCATGTCTCCCTGGCCCCCAACTCCCACCGACCAGACCAAACCCGCCCCGCGCCCGCATTGCCCCGACCAAAGCCGAGATCCGAGGCACGTGGAGACGTTCACGAAGCCCATGGCCCGCGCGGAGTTGCAGAAGGGCACGAAGGACACCCGGCCGTTGCCCCCCGGGTCCAGCAGCAGCCGCCAGGCCCGCACCATGTTGCCGTACTTCCGGCGGCAGCAGGCCTCTGCCAGCCAGGCTCGAAGGCACCCTTGGCTTTGGGTCACTAACAAACTGGGCTAGATGCATGCAGATATTTAAGCAGACACACTTGCGTACACCTGGAACAGCAGAATGCCGAATTACAAGAGAAGCTTCTACGGCTGAGAATGTCCCGTGCCCAGGCAGTGGCCTAAGCTCTCTAAAATAGGGGAAGGAGGGCCTCTGGAGCTGTATTTCCAGCTGTGTAAAACACGAAAAAAAGACACCTATACGGTTGGCTAAAAAAGGGAGAGAACCACCGAACAGTGGTTGGGAACGTCTTCACGAAGCGTTGTTAGAGACTGAGAATGGCTTTACGTGTTGTCTTCTTTCCAAGTTGAATGTGAGAAGAAACTTCCAGGCTAGGTCAAAAACGCTGGACGGCTTGATGCTTTTTCGTAAGACACACCAAAGTAACAACATTCTAGTCATAATCAAGTTCGATGAAACTACGAGTAATGTCAGCTGTGTGAGAACCCATCGAGCAGAAACAAACTAGACCGATCGCAGGCTTCAACTTGCGCCCGCCTTGAAGGCGTCGGTGTACTGCAGCCCATCCTGGCAACAGGAGCTCGCTAAAGATCAACGAGGGGGGTCCTCGTGAATTTATCAAAGAGAAAAACAAGAGAAATGGCAAGTGCGCAAACGCATGATATGATGTGAATATATATATATATATATATACATACATATATGGTCCCGTGTTGCTACCCCCCCAGATGGTATGGGTCCCCCACGACCCCCTCCCCCCCGGCCCGAGACCCCGAGCCCCCGGATCCTGGCACCTGCGGTCCCACCCCCACCCCGACCCCTTGAACTCGCACCCCGACACCCCGGCACCCCCACCCCCAGGAAACTAACCCTAAACCAACCCTAAATACGCCCTACCAAACCGTAAGCCGTAGACCTCTAAACCTAAACCAACCCTAAACCAACTCTAAACCAACCCTAAACTAACCCTAAATACACCCTAAATATACCCTAAACCGATTCTAAACTAACCCGAAAAAAAACACAACAACCCAACCACAGGACCACAACCGCAGGGGGGGGGGGGTACTTGTCTGACCCATGACCATTGGGGGCGGGGGGGGGGGACTGGCAACGCTGTACCAATTTTCCAGGCAAGGTAGTTCAGAGGTAGTTCATGGGGGGGTGTGACCATAGATATAGATATAGATATATATATATATATATGTATACGTGTATATTGATATGTATATATATATATATATGTATCTATCATATGCGAGAGCGAGAGAGAGAGAGAGAGAGAGAGAGAGAGAGAGAGCTTTGCCTCACATGCAGCTTGACGTCTTGACGTCTTCCGGTTCAGCTTGAGGGGTTCAGCCTCTTGAGATTCAACGGGGGGTATACCATCCACCTGGATAACCCCCAAAATGATTTCCGTTTTGTCTGGTGGAAAAGGTGATGTTGCAAATGGCCAAATCGATCGTGGAAGTCGAGAAGGTGGTCTTTCCTTCAAACCCTCCTCTCCACTTCCATGATTGTTGAAGTGGGAAAAGCATTGAATCACACTACAACAGCTGGGGGCTTAGCTTTGGCACTTTATCCGGCGCTGTCTCGCCGTGGTGCAGAAACTAATTTCGGAGAACTTAAAATAGTCTGGCAACTTGGTTGCCAAACGAGCCACTCAACTAACCTTTCACCTATTGGAGATACTTATGCCTTGGCATCCTCCGCGGCCATGTGCTTGATCAAATCCACAACCCTGCATGAGTAGCCCCACTCGTTGTCGTACCAGCACACAACCTTCACGAAGGTGGGGTCGAGCATGATGCCGGCCTTGGCATCAAAGGTGCAGGAGATGGGGCAGGTCTCAAAGTCGGTGGACACCAGCGCCTCATCCGTGTACCCTAGGAAGCCCTTCATGTCGCCCTCGGAGCGCTTCTTCATCTCCGCGCAGATCTCCTCATAGGTCGTCTCCTTCTCCAATTCCTCGACCAGACTTAGATCCCCCGCAAAAAGCTAAACTTGTTGTTGGCTAAGAAAAAAAGATGGAAACCCAACAGGAAAAAGTCAAAAAGGTAGGCTAAGCCTGGCAATGGTTCGACGGTAAGGTCAACGACAGAGACATCGATGGTCGGGACTCGCAGGGCCATGCCAGTGAGCTTGCCCTTCACGTCAGGGATCACCTTTGCCACAGCCTTGGCCGCTCCAGTGGAGGAGGGGATGATATTTCCGGGGCCTGCGCGGCCACCGCGCCAGTCCTTCTTGGAGGTGCCATCCACAGTTGGCTGGGAGGCGGTCATGGCGTGGCAGGTTGTCATCAGGCCTCGCTTGATGCCCCACTTCTCGTTCAGCACACGCACAGCCGGCGCCAGGCCGTTGGTGGTGCAGGAGGCGCAGGACACGCACTCCATGGAGGGGTCATAGGTGTCCTGGTTCACGCCCATCACGATGGTGTGCGAGTCATCCTTGGCAGGGGCGGAGAAGATCACCTTCTTGGCGCCAGCCTTCAAGTGACCCTGAACCTTCTCAGTGGTCAGGAACACTCCCGTGGACTCGCACACGTACTCGGCGCCATGCTCAGCAAAGGGGATCTCGGCAGGGTCGCGGGTGTGGGACAGCGCAATCTTCTGGCCGTCCACCACCAAGGAATCTCCATCCACCTCCACAGTGCCGTCATACTTGCCGTGGATGGTGTCATATTTCCTGGCTTTGGTTGACGCAGAACCAGCGTGCAGAAAAAGATGGCAACTAAGAAATGTATGGCAACCCCCGACTATAAGAAACTACAAGTTCCAAACACGAAAAGGCATGCTCGGTCTGGACAAAATCTCATCATGTACGCCAAGTAGTCCGCGTCGTAGCTGGCGTTGATCAGCTTCAACTCCGTCTCGGGGTCCTTCATGGCAATGCGCGCCACCTGACGCCCGATGCGGCCGAAGCCGTTGATGCCCACGCCCACCGCCTGCATGGAGGTGCGGTTCTTGCCCGCGCGCTTGCCAGCCACCCCGGCCGCCGCCAGGCCCGCAATGGCACCCATGCCGGCCATGGCTCCCATGCCGGAGCTGGAGGACTGCGAGGCTCGGGAGTAGCCCGACGCACGGAGCCCGGTCTTGGCCTCCTGTGCCACAGGTCCAGGCGCCACGAAGGCGGTGGTCAGGGCCGTGCCGGCCACTGCACCGCCGAACAGCAGGGCCGCATTCTCCACAGCGGACGGCATGATTGCAAGAAGGGAGCACAAGCTTCAAAATTGGACAGCCGAAAATGCTGAGACATTTCGGAGATCAAGCATTGACATCTGTGCTCATGTGGGTAAAGAAGTCGACATAGATAGATGAGAGATATACATGGTTCATTTGCACGCCGATCTTGGGAGTTGAAGAAGGAAAGCCAACATGAAACAAACATCTGGAAGGGATGCATTGCAAAGAGAGCCCCTCGAATGAATCAGCATGGTAATTCCACACTTATATAATCAAGATTGAGATTGACTCTTGTACGCCATATGCCCTCAGTCAAATGAACATGAAAACTGACAGTGTCCGTTCCAGGTGGTTTTCCATGTGCGTGAGAGGGGTGCACGGTTGGCACATCTTTGTATCGTCGGCGCAAATGCCACATATAGCAGCCCGGCGTGTGATGCAAATGGCTCTCTTTTGCTCACTGGCACTCCACCACAGAAAGAAGGCAGAGTTCGCGAAAATGGAAAAACTGAAAGAAACATCACTAAGTGATGGGACTCTACTTTCAGGTTAAACGTTTGACCTCCCTAAGCTATGCTGCCTTTCTCATGCCTTGGCATCCTCCGCGGCCATGTGCTTGATCAAATCCACAACCCTGCATGAGTAGCCCCACTCGTTGTCGTACCAGCACACCACCTTCACGAAGGTGGGGTCGAGCATGATGCCGGCCTTGGCATCAAAGGTGCAGGAGATGGGGCAAGTCTCGAAGTCGGTGGACACCAGCGCCTCGTCGGTGTAGCCAAGGAAGCCCTTCATATCACCCTCGGATCGCTTCTTCATCTCTGCGCAGATCTCCTCATAAGTCGTCTCCTTCTCCAATTCGACGGTAAGGTCAACGACAGAGACATCGATGGTCGGGACTCGCAGGGCCATGCCAGTGAGCTTGCCCTTCACGTCAGGGATCACCTTTGCCACAGCCTTGGCCGCTCCAGTGGAGGAGGGGATGATATTTCCGGGGCCTGCGCGGCCACCGCGCCAGTCCTTCTTGGAGGTGCCATCCACAGTTGGCTGGGAGGCGGTCATGGCGTGGCAGGTTGTCATCAGGCCTCGCTTGATGCCCCACTTCTCGTTCAGCACACGCACAGCCGGCGCCAGGCCGTTGGTGGTGCAGGAGGCGCAGGACACGCACTCCATGGAGGGGTCATAGGTGTCCTGGTTCACGCCCATCACGATGGTGTGCGAGTCATCCTTGGCAGGGGCGGAGAAGATCACCTTCTTGGCGCCAGCCTTCAAGTGACCCTGAACCTTCTCAGTGGTCAGGAACACTCCCGTGGACTCGCACACGTACTCGGCGCCATGCTCAGCGAAGGGGATCTCGGCAGGGTCGCGGGTGTGGGACAGCGCAATCTTCTGGCCGTCCACCACCAAGGAATCTCCATCCACCTCCACAGTGCCGTCATACTTGCCGTGGATGGTGTCATATTTCCTGGCTTTTGTTGACGCAGAACCAGCGTGCAGAAAAAGATGGCAACTAAGAAATGTATGGCAACCCCCGACTATAAGAAACTACAAGTTCCAAACACGAAAAGGCATGCTCGGTCTGGACAAAATCTCATCATGTACGCCAAGTAGTCTGCGTCGTAGCTGGCGTTGATCAGCTTCAACTCCGTCTCGGGGTCCTTCATGGCAATGCGCGCCACCTGACGCCCGATGCGGCCGAAGCCGTTGATGCCCACGCCCACCGCCTGCATGGAGGTGCGGTTCTTGCCCGCGCGCTTGCCAGCCACCCCGGCCGCCGCCAGGCCCGCAATGGCACCCATGCCGGCCATGGCTCCCATGCCGGAGCTGGAGGACTGCGAGGCTCGGGAGTAGCCCGACGCACGGAGCCCGGTCTTGGCCTCCTGTGCCACAGGTCCAGGCGCCACGAAGGCGGTGGTCAGGGCCGTGCCGGCCACTGCACCGCCGAACAGCAGGGCCGCATTCTCCACAGCGGACGGCATGATTGCAAGAAGGGAGCACAAGCTTCAAAATTGGACAGCCAAAAATGCTGAGACATTTCGGAGATCAAGCATTGACATCTGTGCTCATGTGGGTAAAGAAGTCGACATAGATAGACGAGAGATATACATGGTTCATTTGCACGCCGATCTTGGGAGTTGAAGAAGGAAAGCCAACATGAAACAAACATCTGGAAGGGATGCATTGCAAAGAGAGCCCCTCTAATGAATCAGCATGGTAATTCCACACTTATATAATCAAGATTGAGATTGACTCTTGTACGCCATATGCCCTCAGTCAAATGAACATGAAAACTGACAGTGTCCGTTCCAGGTGGTTTTCCATGTGCGTGAGAGGGGTGCACGGTTGGCACATCTTTGTATCGTCGGCGCAAATGCCACATATAGC